TAAGAGTGACCTTATTTCTAAATCAGAGCTTCTAGGAACAATTGTGTAATTTAGGTTGTTTTGCTTTTAACTGGCTTTTCACATGTAAATCTGGCTGGCGTAGTGCTAACACTAATATTTTTTGTGCTTTTTCATCATTGTTATGGATGCTTTCCTTTTTTAGAGACAAAAGACCATTCTTGTCATGTCACAACTGTTTTTATGTCATTTCAGATTCCTTCTGTCTGAGATGAGAAAGCTCTGAAATGGATTTAGGGGATGAGTTAACACACAATGTTGAGACAGTTCTCTCAAAGCTTCTTTTTGTAATAAATTCTGGTTACCTCCCTCTAACACTGTCCCATAGTGGATGCTTAGTATTACCTGCAGAAGGTCACGACAGGGAACCAGGAGACCATGCTGCTTGCAAGGATCCAAGGCCAGCATTTACTGGTAATCTAATGCTTTCACAGCCTAATCAAATACAGCAGCCACTTATTTTTAAGCTGGTTATAACAACCCTACCATTTATAATCCAAATCTCTTAATTCTATTAAAGGTTGTTAGTAATATCCTTCCAGTGAATTGTTACGGCAAGCTGTGTATTGGCAGTGGAAAGAGGAATATAATGTTGAAGGCTCATTCTTAGACTTGGATTTGCTTTGAGTTACTTTTCAGCCATGATTTCGCTAGACTTGGTTATACTGCAGTTACTTAAGTTTGCTATATCTTATTGCCATGTTTTCTCCATAAGCAAAAGAACTACACAGTTTCTCAAAGCTACACAAAAACTAAGATAAGTCAGGTAACATAATGGAGAAAACAAGCTTTTATTTACAGGGCAGGCAGCACATGCCTGGCAGCTGAGCAATTTTGCTGTTACAGCTGAGAAAACCTGGATAATCATCTGACCCCAGAACAGAATAATGTTTTCACATAAGTTTTTGCACCTACACTAAAAAAAAAAAAAAAAATCTAAAGTACCATATTGGCAGGACTATAAGGTTACAGTAATAAGTATATAAAAAATGAATAAAATATCTTGATGCTTCCTTTAAACCCTCCTTCAGCCTTCAGTAACTTCTAGCAATGAAAAGGATTGTTCTAGAACTTCCCGAAGTTACAGTTGTTTCTGAGTCTATTAGACACCAACAGATTCCCCCCATCATCCCACAAGCTTGTGAAGCTCTTGTTTGAACCCTTGGAAAGATTTAGTGCTCACAGTCTCCTTCAGTAGAGTTCCATGTCTTTCTTACGTCCAATATAAGGAAATTACTCATTTAAACTCAGGACAATTCTTGCAGTCTGTGTACAGTGTAAGTTCTGCAGCTTTTGATTCAGACCTGAGAATTGATGTAGTAGGCAAAGCATGTTTGCCTGAAAGGATTTCCAGTTTTCCCTACTAAATCCTATTAGCCTAATAATATCAATGAGGTTTAGATCAAAGAGGGTCTGTGGGAGTATATCTTCCAGAGCTGATTTTCTTTAGATGTTAGGTTATACCACACCCTTTCTCTTTCTACAGTGTCAGAGATCATTAGACTAATGAAAAAAAATGATTCATTTCCTCTCAGCCCTGTTAATTTGGTAAGGAAAGGGACACTTGCATAGCTACTTCATTGGCAATGGCAGAAAAACAGTTCCCTAGCTTAATTAGGTATTGATAGCAGACAAAATGAGTGCTGATCTCCCTACAACCTCATGATGTGTATTACCATGACCTTTCTTAATCAAAATACTTATGTAGCTCTTATGGATTATTTTTTCCAAGCAATCAATGAATGGAGCATGTTTAATTTAAAATTTAAAACTTTTCACAGATCCGGAAAACTATGTTGTTTCTCTTCAACTTAAAATTTAAAACTATTATTAAAAAAATAAAAATAAAAATAAAAATAAAAAACAAAAAACAAAAAACAGGATTTTACAGTCAGGAATCATTGCAAACCTTTTTTCCTAGTGTTTTTTTTTTGTTTGTTTTTTACATTGTTCTCCCTCTCTCCCTTTCTTTCTTTCATCATTCATTCGTTTCTTCCTTCCTTTTCTTTCTTAATCAGGAATGTTTTATTCTTCATTCCTTTGGATATTTTCAAATTTACAGGACAATATAATCAATTTATGAACTTGCATTACATTTTTTCTCCTGCTATTAGTACTTCCATATTATGAACACTTCATGCTTTGCTCCTGGGAATTATGATAACGTTTTGAAATTCGTACTTAATCTTACACTTAAGAATGTTATTCTGTCCTTACTGTTTCAAGTGTCTAGAAAATGGCCAGTTTTTGTTTTTGCTTTTTATCTACTTCACTATGAAGGAGCTCTCTGAAGTACTCTCTTAATTGTTTTATAATTGTATATCATTTGTAACACAACAATTTCTAATTATGTTCTGTATTAGATTACTTTATAATTCTTACTCTTTTCTCTATAAATTGATAACTTTCCAAAATATTCCTACACTGCTGTTACAGCTGTCTTTGAGTACTCTCCACCAAGTCATGTAATCATTCTATTGTATTCCTTTATCAGACTATTGCCCTTTTTTATGACTTTGCTGCTCAACACGAGACTGTTGTTGGATCTACCTATTTCCCACTTCTCTGGCTCTTTCTACCCTATCTTTAAAAGTAACAGTGACTTCCTCTCTAAGTTCTACTTCCTTTCCAAAGACTCATATTTATTTTCAATTAGAACTTGATGTAGACTTCTGGATTTTGTATCCTTAAAGTATGTTCGTAACACATTTATGTAGTTCCTTTGGTTACCTTTAGCCACCTTTGAATTTTAGACGCTACATTATCTTGAATCAGTAAATAAATGATCAGTGTAGTACCAGTCTGAACACTCCATTGTTGGATAATCAGACACTTACCCATTTTCTAATAATAAAATGAATTGCTAGTGGAAAACATGTGATTGGTATCACAAAGGCTTCACTTCTTCAGGATCATAAGAAAGTGTTTTATTTATTTATTTATTTATTTTTCTCAGGTGGATACTTTTAATGAAAAATTAATTTAACTCGATCTAACAGTAGGAGCTTATAATGAGAATCATTCACAGTAAAATACTGGAATAACACTATAGTAATAGGACATGCTACAATTATGACTAAGATTTATCTCTTTTTTGCAAGTATTAAAAAAAAATCGTAAAATTGTTCACACTGTCTTGCAAATATTTCTACCTATGATAAGGCTTGGTATGTAAGGTTAGAGAAGGCACAGAAGAACAGAGCATGTATAGAATTATACTCCTTCTGGGGTAACTTGTTAGTTTCCACAGACCAACATGCTTGAAGCTTCCTGAAATAGCTTTTATTTCCTGATTATTGTGTTTAATAACCCTTAATTAACTAATTCTTTGGTTTTTTTCTAGTCCAATTTTAATGCATTTATACTTGGTTTCCATAACAGTGACTAGCAGTGAACACTGCAATTTAATTATGTTGTGGATATTTTTTCATTCTGAAAAGAAGTATTTTGCTTTAAGCTTGCTTGGATGATAGTTTATCAGGTGTCTCTTATGTCTGTTAGTCTTTGTATTGCAGAGAACAATGGATGTTTTCTATCTGCTGCCTGGGTAGCTCTCATATTTCGTAAGTCTCAGTCAGAATTGAAAGAAATGTCCTCTTCTGAATAGAGTCTTAAATCTCTCCTTCATCATCACTCTTTTCCATACCTTCTCATGCTCAATGCTTTTTCACTTTATGGCTTTTTTGGAGATGGGAAATACGTCAAGTAATGAAAATTGTGATGAGGATGCATGAACATACACAGTAACATAATGGCTAGATGCTAATGGGTATTTTTGTTTGTTTTCTTTTTCTCCCTCTGTGTATTATCTTCAATTACCTTATGCATAGAAGTATGCAGTTTCTTGGTTCAATAGTTTTTGGTTCTACCTTAAAAGTGAATGTGAGGTACTGCACAAATATTCTATTAAATTAATGTTGTGATAATTATTACATATAATTTACTGCAGTAAGCAATATCGTGAGCACAATAATCCAATGTTCATGTAATTAGCATGACTATGAGCAATTCATTATGTGGTTGTTTCAAGCTGCATGGGTGGTTTCTCAGTAACAATGTAAATAACTCACATGACCAATAATTATGCATGTGAGAGGCAGGAGATGACAGCACTAGTAGAAAATTCATGATCGAATTTGTTTTCTGTTTAAAGTAGAAGATTCATTTAATGGATGCTTTCTGTTGCACTGCATTTAAATATACTATAGAAAGTGTTTAATACAGTCATGTAATTTGTAAATGGCTATTAAACCAAGAATCATCCATCTGAATAATCGAGAGCTGTATTGGATCAGAATATGCACCACAGCATATTCTGTTCCAATTGATCACTAATATTTACACAAGTGCTTTTTAAGAAAGCAGTTTAGTGCAAGCAACAGGTATCTTTTGCTATTCGTGTACTGGATACTGACAAGAAATAGAAAAGCACTTTGTTATGCTAAGCATTTGCTGAAAAACCCCATGGAAAATGTTTTAACTGCGTACAAATAGGAAATAGTGTCTATTATTGTGTTATTTTTCTTTTCTAGCAATCCCAAAGAAATTCGGGATTTGTTCATAACTAGTTGAGGTAAACTGGAAGTGGTATTTAGTAAGCATACCTCCTTATGGCTCAACAAACAAACAAAACCTACCAAATTTAGAACAGTTTAGGAATATTTGGATTAGTAAACCAGTTTTTTCTAATGCTGCTATAATGATATAATCATTTAGGATACATTTGAAGATCCAATGGGATTTAAGAATATATGGTTTGTTACCTGATACCTACTACTAAGAGATATTAGTCTTGTTTTAATTATGATGCACAATTAGAAGTGATAGATTGTAGGAAGGACACTTGATCCTATTTACAGTGCCATCAAAAATATCAGGAAGTCAAATATGCAACGAAACACTAATATTGATTTTTCTTCTATTTTTAATTCCTCAGTGATTGTAAGTCTATCAGATATTATTTTATTTTGTTCTCAGATATGTCCAATTATTTGGTCCAGGCTTATGCACAGCACTTCAATCCACTTGGAAAACTTCGGTACAACTGGGTTTAAGGTGCTTTCAATAATCTCTGAAAGATCATGATGAGAGAAGAAGGTCTGGAGGAAAGCAATCATTCCTACTTTCAAGAAGAGAAAGGAAAGCATCCAGGGCTGATTGGAGTTAATCACTGTGGTTTTATAAAGGTAAAGTACTTGACAAACGTCATAATCTTCCTACTGTGAAACAAGCGTTTTAGTGGATGAACAGAGAGCAGTGAATGCTGTTTCTCTTGACTTTAGGGAGGTTTTTGATGGTGTCTCACAAAACTTCCTCTTAGGCAAGCTGAAGAAGTATGGGCTAAGTAAAGCAGAGGTGTTTTGAAAACAGAATGACTTTCCAGGCACAAAAGGTTGTGATCAGTAGCACAAAGCCTAGCTGGCAGCCAAACACTATCAGTGTACCCCAGCAGCTGACACTGGGATTAGTACTGTTCAGCCACTTTAATTACATTGATGATGGGATGGAGTTGATTTGTGGATGATACAAAAATGGAAGAGTGGCTGACATACCAGAGGGTCATGCTGCAATTCAAACAGTCTTACTAGGATCATGAATTTCATTAAGTTTAGCAGTGGCATACAGGACCCTGGATCTGGGAAGGACTTAATTTTGTACACCAGTACATGCTGGTAGCTGGAAAATAAACTGGTAAAAAAGCAGGTCCTGGTGGACAAGTTGAACGTAGCATCAATGTGCCTTGTGGCAAAGCTGGCCAGAGAGCGTTGCGAGCAGGCTCAGAGAGATTATTCTTGCCTTCTACTCAGTGCTTCAGATGAGATTCCATCTGAACATTTTCTCCATTTGAGGACTTCTTAGCACTACAGGGACATGGACATACTTGGGCAAGTCCAACATGAGGCCATGAAGTTGATTAAGTTTCTTCCTGAGGAGGATCTTTCACGTGAGGAAAGACTGGGGTTTTTTGAGCTCCAGAAGATTAAGGGAAGATCTTAACAATGTGTATAAATACCTGATTGGCGCATGGAGCAAGGAAGATGGAGACAGACTTCTTGGTGCTGCTCAGTGAAGGGGAAAGCAGCAATGGGCACAAAATATAAGATAGCAAATTCTTTTCAGAAAAAGTTTTACTGTCAGGATGACTGACCACTGGCAGAATGTCCAGAACAATTTGGAGTTGTCTTCCTTGGAGGTGTTCAAAATTCAACTGGACATAGTTCTGAGCAACCTGCTCTAGTAGACCCTACTCTGAAAAAATGAAAACATTTACATTAAGCCTCTTCATGATGAGGTGGTCCTCAAATATATATCTGAAATGTTGATGTAGAAGTTGTCTATAAGCTTCTGTTCCAGAAATGCATCAGCAGTGCTTGAATTTCTATCAATGGGTAGATTTGAAGAAAACTTCTGCAGTTGGAATTTATTTTTTAATTAATATCAATGCCTTTTCTCTAAAAATAAATTAGATAATTTTCACATTCTTTAGAGAAGCATTTCCAAACATCAAGTAGGCCTCACTAACAAGGGCGAGGGCTGGGCTGGGTTTGCCAGCTACATTTGCTCTGCAGTTCTCCTTTCCTTACTGCCATAGGATTAAGGTATGCTTTCAATCCACAATCACTATGTTTATAGAGTATGATACAGAGCCAAGACCTGACTCAGCTCACACACCCAGTCTCTCTCCACAAAACCATTCCAGGCTCTGAGCTCCAACACCTCTGTCTATCATTCATTGGGAATCACTGGATTTCATGACCAGGGATATCTCTTGTCCATGGTAGTGGTTGAGTCCCTCCTGCCTTGATTCAGAAGCGACACTTGATCTAAAATCTTGGGAACCTTTGCTCTTGGCAGAATTCCCCACAATCCTGGATCATTACCAATTCTTACAACTTTCTGATGTCAGCTGGGCATTCTTATCAAGTATGTAATAGAAACCATTACCACTTACTGCTTCACATGAGTCAGGAAACCCTCTTTGTAGAACGCAGTCTTTTAAGGTCACTGAGTGTTTCAACTGAGATCTGTTTGAGAGGAAGCAACGCCAAGTCCAGCTCTGAATGGAACATGCAGTGTTCATCAAAATGTGCTCAAGATGTGCCATCAGAGAATGAAAAGATGAAATGCAGGACCATTGCAGGAGCAGCATTGCTTCTGTGTTTGCCAGTATAGATCTGGCAAACAAGTAAACTATGGACAAAACCTACCTGAGATCCAAATCTAGAGTAATGTTCAACTTTTCTGTAGTTTTGTGCTTACGTCAGTTCAGGCCAAAACAAATTTAAATACTAACTTGTTGATAACATTTCCTAGAGTATTCCATCCTCAGTTCAAGCAAAATAGTAACTGATGATCATCAAATACATAGTTGGATAACTATAAAAACATGTGCCCAAACAGACTTTTTTGAAGCCAAGAATACTAGAAAACAATAGGAAACGTGTCATTTATGAAAAACCCTAACTATTCAGAATCTTATTTCATCAATTATTTCTGAGTTTTTAAGAAGTGTCACAGAAGTCTTGAAAGTAGGATGTATATACTTCTGCTTATTTCTAAGTATTTTCAGAATTGGCATCATATCTTGACTTTCGAAAGATTAACTTCCACATCATTTGCAGTTCCTGGTAACTTCCTTTAAAATAACTGTAATAGCTACTGAGGGGAAAAAAAACTAAACCATGAAAGGACTTTCTAAAAGCAGATATTTAGGTAAATATGACCATGAATTTCTCAGATATGACTGCAGTTACACACATCTTTAGATTTAAATGTTTCTGTCCAGTAGTAAGGGTTAACCAGAGTAACCTGAATGGGTTACTTATGAATGTATATAATGTAACCTATTATGTAAGTTATTTAGTGGACAGATTTGATTATTGCAATAGCTTTTGAAGGACTGGATATTTACAGATTTCCTTTACATGCACTTTTTATTACTTTCAGTGGCTTTTGCAGATGGAGTATATCATAATAGAAGGCCTACAAACAAAATAATGTTACCATATAGGTGTCTTTTTTTGTTGGTGTTGTTGTTTTTTTCCAGAGTGAATATGAAGATTGCAATGCATGAATAAGTAGACTTTTAGTCAGTGGTCTTGAGCTGCATTCAATTAGGAACTTGGTATCTTCTTTTTTGTTTTATGAATTAAAATGATAGGTACAATCTATACTGTAGCAAAAAAAAAAAAAAAAAGAGAGAGAGATTAAAGAACCGTCTAGTCTAATATCCCACTTCTTTAAAAAAATAAATAAATAAATAAAGCTTACCCCTTCAAAAGCCATATTAGGATCTAGTGGAAGATGTAGGAAACCCACTGTTTATATCTGCCTTTCATATTTTTGTCTCATCTCTGTGTCTACTGTCTTGCATTGACATTAGTCATGAAACAATAGGATCGATATTTCTCACAACATATGTTGTTATTGGTAGTTATCAGATGTATTTTGACAACCATTTAAAAACAAATCCATTTCATCACCCTGTTAAATTCTTGTTCTTAAAAGCCTCCTGTGATAGTTCTTGCAGATTAGCTAGAGGCAACGTGAAAGAACATCTCACTTAGTAATTATGAATTTCATTCAGTTTATTGCAATTTTGTCTTTTTTTTTTTTTTTGAGATAAAATGTAAGATTCTAAGCAGTCTTTCTGAAGTATTCATGATGCATGTTATATGCAGTTACTATGTTCCCTCTTATGTGTTTCATCTCTGTGGATTACAGTCCTAAATTCTAAGTAGAGGAATCTCTTGTTTGTCTTGGATTACTTGTGTTCTGAGGAATCTGTCTCTAGTTCTACAATATTATTTACAAGGCAAATAGAGTAACATAGCTCAAGACGAAGCTGTATGGCTGATCAATAAAAGGCATTATTGTATTTTCTGAATTATTCATCACCCTATTCTTTATGCATTCTAATGCTGTTAGAGTATTTGGACTGTTATTGTATATTGAACAGGTCTTTCCTGACCTGCCTATAGTATTGACTTTGAATTTATCCAGCTGGAATTTTGTAAGCTACTTGAGCCATTTTAAATTTCTCGAGAGTGTTATTCCTTTGCTTCCTCCTTCTCTAGATCTCCTACCTGAAAGCAGAATGTTATATCAGCAAGTAGCTGGCTTCCTAAAGAACACTACCAAGTTTGCACAAATGTTCAAGTGCAAACTGTCTTAATATGAGTGAAAGATCAGGAAACATAATGGGAGGTCAATGTCCTGAAAGTGGAAAGGGATGAGATAGTTCATAACTTGGAAAATAAGTGAAATTATAACTGTGAGTATAAAAACCAGCATGATCAAAATAAGGGGCAAGTTACAAGAGATATAACTAGAATATGCTTATGGATAATTTTATATTCACTCCCTTCTTGAAATATACTGTGGAGTTAGCTGACCCACTATTTAACTAACAGCTGATACTAAAACATCTAAAATAAAACATTAATCTATTTTTTGCTCCAATCTTAAATAAAAAGATTATCTATGGCTAAATGGCCAATATAAGTTCTATCTGTATTGAAATGGGGAAGATCAGAGACTACTGTGGTATCTTCTGATCATTTGGATCTCAAAAAGTTTCTTTGGTAACTCCAGACCTTATTAGACATAACTTTTAAAAGCGTATGGAGAATGAGTGAGGACCAAAGTTAGATACCAGATGTAAAGAGGAGGAAGGAGAAAACTAAAAGACAGGGAATTACAGATCAGCCAGACTGTAATTCAAAACAGTGCTGAACAACTCAAATGATTATTTATCTTTATAAAAAGTGAGTTTCATCAGATTCCAGATATGTGAAATCAAATATATTTCTGTAGCAAATTCTGACATCATTTTTTGAAGAATAAAACACAGCTGCTAGGGAGCTGCTAATGCTAGGGAGAGTGAGTCCTAATAAGTAAACTCAATAAAATCAATGGAGAAGAAAAATCCAGTAAAAAATAGCAGTCTTCAATATTAATCAGTAAGAAAAAATTGTGTACCCTTGATGGAGAAGTTAATGTTGTCAGGTAATTGTCCAATGCTGATTTGATGTTCTTCAACCTATGGCTTTCAAGATCATAAGGAAAGGCAGGCTCCTTACACCAAGTTTAAGCCTAGAGCTGTGGACAAGCCAGATGTACTGAGGAACAACTGTCATTGCTATCATAGCAGGGATGGCTCAAGGGCTGCTGTTCCCAGGGTAAAGCAAGCTTGTTGACCTGCTTGTTGACCATGCTGCCACAGACAACTTTTGGAAGCACAGGTTGGCCATGTGCTGTGTATCATCCTGATGGAAGGGCCTCTTGTAAGGTAATCCAGTGTCCCATGTAGGAGAAGACAATAGGGATGGGAAAATGAAGGATGGGAGTGATGCAGGCTTATAGAGTTTCAATTGAGATCCCTGGTAGCAAAGGAGATATGCAAGGAACAGGAGCATTTCCTGCATCTCATGTTCCTATTTTGCTCTCTCCCTAAGACCTGTCACAGATCCCTTGATACCAATAACAAGCTGTGATATCACAGTCACAGAGTAGTTGGGGCTTGAAGGGAGTTCTAGAGATGGTCTGGATGGAAGTTCTCTAGGATAATCTGCTGCTTCAAAGAGTACTGCCTCTGGCATCTCTTTGCTTAGACAAGCAGTTGTGGCCCTCGAGATTTTGTCCTGTGTTGCTCTGCTTTTACAGAGGGACACAGTGGATGGTCAGACACCAGATGCTCAAAAAGCAAAATCTTCAATGTTGTTGGAGTTCCAAGAATACACAGTGGATAGCTTTTGACAATGCTATGTACTAGCTTTGTAACTTGCTATTTTACCTTTTTGGAGAAATAAGGGGGAATACAGTGCAATATAGTGCTTCAGCTATTTTCTAAAGTCATTTGCTCTTTAACCCTGGACTTTTAAATTCACTGCAGCTTCCTTTTCCTTCACAGCCACTTTCAGTTAGAGCCTGGTAAGAATGCAGACTGTAGGCTACCTAGGGAAATTGGTCTCTAAAAACATATGGCATTTCAACTTCAACAATGTCAGAATTATCATTTGACTGTAATGATGCTCATTTAATTAAGTGCAACCTGAAATAAAAAAAGTTAATATGTAGTTTAAAAAGTAGAGCATTCAAATTAGAAAGTCTATTTCTGTGTGGATTTAGGTACTATGACATTTTAAATTACACTGCTGATGTATAGAATGCTGCAGTCTTTAATTACATAGCAATGTTATTTGTATACAGAACCCTTTTCTTTATAACTATAGATATGCTCTAAGGATTATTAGGAGTTCTAGGTGTTAATGTGTGTGATCTCAGCTGGAGTTTGAAGAATGAATTGAAAGATGTTGGTTTCAAGTGAAGGGAGGGAAAGTAGGTGAGTGGGTCCATCAGGTGGAACAGAAGATGAAGTCAAGTGCAAAGTAACTCAGTGCTTCCTTCAGTGCCTTCAGTGTAGCTGCTGAAGCACCTGATGTCGAGTCTTTCAACATTTGAGACAGGTTTATGCTGAACTCATTTTTCTGAAAAGGCACAAGATATCACTAGGAAACCTTCAGGTTAATTAAGTTTTTTGCTGTGGAATTATAATTTTATTTCCTGAGAAATTGCATGAGACTAATATGATGAGAAATTAGTTGTTACAGGCATGATATATTACTAAAAAACCAACCGAACAAAAAAACCCCACCAAATCAAACAAATGACATAATCATCATTGTAAACTCCTTGGAAAGGCTTTTTCTGTTTGAGTTCAGAGAGGTGGAAAGTAGTGGAAAGATATTAGAGCAGAATCAACTTGAGGAAAAAAGGCAAGCAGTATCATCATTTGCATTAGCATACTGTGTAAGCCTCAAATATTTTTCTGGAAATGGCTGTTGTTCACATGGAAAAATGTTTTATTTTTTCCCATTCTGATTTTTCACACTTTTGTGAGTCCATGCAAAATCATGTAATTATTCGTATATTTAAAATATGTGTGATATTGGTCTTCCCACCCTTGAGAGATTGACACTCAGAAGCCTTCAAATCCCAAATATTGTGATCTTCTTTTAAAAGAAGTTTTATGTTGTGATTTTGGTTTGTCTTTTGATACATATTTTTTAACCTCCCCTTGCTTATCCCACTAGATGTGTGTATGTGACAGTGAGGGTGGCCAACTCGACAATTTTTGAAGTGACTGTAAGTAAAGCTTTTTCATGTTGCAAAAATTCTCACACCCACCTCTACTAACTCCTTCCCGGCAATTAATTCTGCCAGAATGTTCTCCCCACATAAATTTGTGTTCATCCTTCAATCTTATCACTGCTGCTCTTGAGAATTGTTCCCCCTCTCTTTCCCAGCACAGTGGGCGCAGTTGGAACTTCTTTCCACTTCTTCCTCAACTGTGCCTGCTGCCCAGCTGTGCATCTCAAAAGAAGAAGAGTTCCTCGACTTTTGCTCTCCTTCCTTCCAGCAGCTGGAGGGAATGGGACAAAGAAGGTCAGACCTCATCCTTGCTTCAAACCCCAGGATTCTAAGAACCGTGTCTTAACAGGGTTTAAGAGCTATATATAGTATAGATTTCTCTGTTTTCTTACAAAGCTACTTGATGTACCACTTCTTCCATGTGAAGATGTGAACATGGCAGAGGAGAAAAGCAGCATCAAGTCCTAATGGGGAAATTTCAGTCCATACCATTTTAGCTACCTGCCCCCCTCTCCTACTTGGCTTGTGGTCAGCCATGGTTAGCTCTAAATCTCTCATCTATAATCACTCATAACAGCCACAGTTTTACACTTTTAGTTGTATTATAGCACTCCATGTCCCTCTTGCTGCTGGCTTTTACTCCAGTCACCAGGAGCCACCCTTGTGGCATTGGGACCCAGTAATGTTCCTGTTGCTTTGGTGTCTTCCTCTCACTCTTGAGCTGAGGCAGGCCTGCATCCCGTGGGAGGTCTTAAACTAAAAGACGAGAGATTTAGATTGGGGAAATTTCTCACTGTGAGGGCAGTGAGGCCCTGGCACAGTCTGCCCAGTGAAGTTGTTGTGCCCCATCCCTGGAGATGCTCAAGGCCTCGATGGATGGAGCCTGGGCAGCTAGGCTGGTGAGTGGTATCCCTGCCCAAGGCGTGGGCTTTGTGCTGGGTGGGCTTTGTGCTGGGTGGGCTTTGTGCTGGGTGGGCTTTGTGCTGGGTGGGCTTTTCCCTTTGAATGCAAGCTGCACTGTGATGATTTGTGCTGTGGATAGGGGCATTCAGTGGGTTGGGGAAGGAGAACTGCTTCTGTGTGAGTGCAAAACTTTAGCTGGTAAACACTGTGCACGATGGACGTGAAACTTTAGTGACAATACTGCAGTTTGTTCTGAGTGCCTGCTTTTTAGGAGTAACCAAGTCCTTCAGAATAAGGCAAGGGGCCACAATTAAAGGCGGGGAAAAATGTGTTTTGTTGCTCCAATATCGAATTTTAACAAAAATCGAGGTATGGCTTTAAACCAGAGATTGATCCGTGTGGAAAAGCATCTCGTGGAACAGACCTCGGCCAGTAGGAACCACACGAGAGATCCTTCCCCGGGCATCTCCCGTCGCGCTGAGGGGACACGGGGGCAGCGCGCCCTCCGCCCGGAGCAGCGGGCGCGGCATGTGCGCGGGGAGGCGCTTCCCGGCGGCGCCCAGCCCCGGGTCGGCAGCGCGGGGCCGCGGCCGCCCGCCCGCCCGCCGCACCATGCCGCCGCGGCTCCTCCTCTCCGCCTCCCGCGCGGGAGCGCGCCCCGTTCCCCTCCCCGGCTGCCTGCAGCAGCGGCGGCGCTGAGGGAGTTGCGCGGGCTCTGCCCGGCGCCTCCGATGTGGCGAGAAGCGATGATGGGGCGGAGGAGACGCCGTTACCTGCTGGAGCGGGCTGAGCAGGCGGGCGGCTGCGGGGCGGGCGGCGAGCAGTCCCGCTCCCGGGACTGGCTCTACGAGTCCTACTATTGCATGAGCCAGCAGCACCCGCTCATCGTCTTCCTACTCCTCATCGTGATGGGCGCCTGCCTGGCCCTGCTCGCCGTCTTCTTCGCCTCGGGGCTGGTAAGGGACGCGACGGGCGCGGGGGACGGGACGGAGCGCGGAGCTGCTGCGGGGCGAAGTTGGCGGCGGCGGCGGGGACCCCCCGGGCAAAGTTGGGCGCCCGGTGCGCGCGGGCGGAGCTGGAGGCAAAGGGAGCGGGAGGGAGCGGCGGGCGCTCCGAGTTTAATTCGCTTAATTCGCTGGCTCTGCTTCCTTCCAGCTGGCAGAGCGGCCAGCTGACCTTCTGCTTTTGCTGGCGGGGTTTAAATTTTCTCACCAAAATACGGGTAGTCACGTTTGGACGGCAAGTAGGCAGCTGGCCGTTCTTAATACCCCCCCCCCCCCCCCCCCCCCCCCCTCTACAATGATTCAGTTCTCCAGCGTTTGACCCATTTTCTCGAGGGAGCCTTCGTTGCTCGGGGAGGCGAAGTTGGCTCTGCGCGGTGCCCCCCGCGCGGAGGCTGAGGGCTCCCGGCCCCAGGAAGGAGCGCGTCGCGGAGCCGCTGACAGCCGGCATCGCGGCTCTCGCTTTTAAAGCCGGGCCGCTCTGCCCTTGTGCCGAGCGCGAGGGAGAGGCTGCAGAGGGCAGTAACATTCTTGCTCCTCACGGAGTTTTGATGTCGGTAGTGATGAGGATCTGCTTGCACAGCTGTGGGCTTCGGAAGTAGCGAATGGGGATTTGAGGGGTCTCGGGTTTTGTTTTTTACTTATTCCTATTTAGGTATTCGGTCTTCTGAGGAGCTTAATGTTTATTGAATACAGCTAACGGTCTGTAGGAGCGAGGACAAGTAGGTCAGGTGTAGCCTGCTGCCTCTCCTAGAGGCATTGCACATAACGCTGCTTGAACAGACAGAGAACCCTGCTTTTCTGCTTGTTTTGACCAAACTTTTGTCTTAAAACCTGCGGGAAGTGGTTGCAGGACTTGCTATACTTAGAGTTAATTGCCGACTTATTTCCTCTGGGTATTTGTCTTAATGTTTTCAGTGCTTTCATTTGTAAGCGCTATTCCTACTAAGTGCAGAACAGGTGTAAAACAGCTCAGGTGAAGCCGTAATAATAGAAGTGGCTCCAAATTCAGTTGCTTAATGCTTAGATGTTTCAGCTCTGTGGAGCTCTGTGTACCCAAATGCAAATTAAACAGTGTTTAATTAAAGTGCATTGACCGGGGGACTTATCCATCAGGGCTGGAGGGACTAAGGATGGCAGTGGGAGCACAGCCAGGCTGAGGCAGGTGTGAGAGGTACGCAGTACTAATTCTAACTAAGGCAGCACAACTTGGGTTTGACAGCTCTTAGCACTGAATTTCAGCTCTTTTTGTCATGGCACGACCTGTAGCTTTTTGTCACAAGTCGCACCTGCCTTTTTCGTAATTCCATTTCTCAAAATAAGTCATTTGTAGTAACAACACTGGCACAGTGCTGGTTCTCAGAGGACTAACTGAAAGTTCTGGAAACAAAACGAAATCTGACTGCATCTTGCCACGCACAGTGCTACAGAAAGAGTGAATTTTATAGTTCAGTCTGCATTTGGAATTCCAGACATACCGGAAAATGAAAAAAAAAAAAAATGCTTTTAGAACCTTTTTCCTGAGCCTTTATCTTCCTGTGGCTCATAACTGAGAGGGTGAGTGGAGGGAGAGGTGGGGTTTGTCCTTAAAGTTTCCAGTCAGCGGATGAGAGAGACTTCAAGCGCAGAGAGAGCTTGTCTGTGCTGACTTTCAGCCGCAGGATGTTGGGCAAAATCCCTTGGAGGCCTGCCCAGATGTTCACCTAAAAGCCTTTTATTATAGTTGAGCTCTGGTTGCATTTGAAATTGAAAATATTTCTAAAGGTTTTAGTTCTGTTCCTCCTGCGTGTGGCTGAAGAATGCTCTTTTTGTACAGCTGTGGAACCTCGATTGAGTTTTTGTGCCTGATAATATTCAAGCGTCAAGCAGTTACGAACATCTGAGCTAGGAGAGCCAGTGCTGCTATCCTTGTCTTTATTTTGCACATCTTGTATGTATGTGATTGCACTGACAGAATATTTACTTCTGTAAAGGAGGCACAATGGAAGTGAATGGAAATAGTTCTGTGAAGGTCTGTGCCATGCATTTGAAGTTAAAGGAAATCTTTCTCAACAGTTGTTTCCTTTAGATTTCGTACAAAGCAGTGAAGATTTTACTGAAAATTACTTAAGCCTGTTGTGGAAACAAAATTCCAAAGTGACTCACTGCAACACTTGATTCATATTTCTCACTTTTATTTCAAAGCACAGTTTAGGATGCAAAATGTGGGATTTAACGTTGTTAGGAAAAAAATGGATATATGTGAAAGATGAACCGTTTTTATGTTCTAGGCTTTCTTATGACAAGATGAAACCAATGGAAGTGAGAGATTTTCCTTCCACTTAATTTTAATTCAGTTGTTAAAATATATCTTGGTGAGATCTGAATTTTCTTTTTAAATTTCATTTATTTATTTATTTATTTATTTATTGGGGAGGAACAAGGTCTGCTTAACTACTCCCCAACAGAGCCAACCACACTGGGATGCATTTCACTTATTCAGCACTTTCAACCTGCTGGAATACCAGCTGTAGTCTTCCTGGTTTCAGATGAAAAATTTATAAAAGCTGTTGCAAAATTACAGTAAACAAGATTACTTACAAAGTGTGCCTGGAAATCAGATTACTTTTCTTTCAGGCAGCGTACTGCTGTTGTCACTGAGACTGGTTTCTTGGGAGATTTTTGGTTTTGTTTGTTTCAGGAAAATAATGTGATTTTGACCTTTGGGATGAAGTGCTCTATCTCCTCAAACATTTGATACGAGACTCTCAGAGTCTACCTGTAAGATGACCATTCAAATCGTGGAGCTTTGCATAATGTAATGATAGTATCAGCCTTTGTATTTCCTGTGTCAAAGTATCCTCTGTATTTCTCAGTACCTGGCATGAATAGAAAACTGGCAAAATGAAATCAGGCTTCCATGTTTAGCTGCTTTAATCGATAGAGAGTAAATTATTTTCCCAAATCTGTGAATGCTTTCCAGTGCTTAGAAATGCCAGATGTCAGGTTCATTTTCTGTCTGGTTGCTGTCTTGCTCTTTTAATAACATAATGTGTAGAGCAAACTCATTATTTTCCTCCCTCACCCTTTTTAGTACTAAAAACATCTCACCTGTTAGTGGTATCTAGAACAGCTATGTCCCTGGTGAAAACATATCTATGTTACCTGCAATTTATAGGAAAAAAAAGATTAAACTGACTAATATTTTTTAAAATATGTAATGTAAAATATCAGCATATCTGAAATATCTGCTGTTGTGATGTTTTGTTTCTTATGCAGTTAAACAAAACTCTGGTTGAAAACAGGGTCGATGCCTAAAGTGTACAATTTATTAGAACACTAACTTTCACAAATATAATACATACATGAAATACATATTTTCTAGACATAAAGACTGCACTATGCTGTAGATAACAGGCTTCAATAAAAGCAGTTCTGTAGTATCTGAATCACTTAGCACTGCTAAGGACATTGTGGTGAAATGAGACCCAAGTCTGTTAAGACTTTTCTTCCTGTTTTCCTGAAATTCAAGGGCCACCAATCTGCTGTGAGATATATGGTTCTTTCAGTCTGGTCAGTGGTCTTTGTTGAAACACTGCAAGCCTGAAATGTAGGGTTATATTATCAGTAGGTTTGTACTCTTATCTGCCTTCAGAATTCTTGCTGCTACATGTGACCCTGTGAAGGCTCTTAAGATGTGGTTGCTGATATGCTGTGGAGCTGGAAGGTATCGGTGGTCAAGTGGATCATGTGTTGAGTGAAGAGTCCTTCCACGATGTGACGTTGGGATGCATTCCCTCATCTCAAGCGCTATGAAATCACTTATTGTTAGCTGCCCAATTGTCTACCAGTCTTCCAAACCACTTGCACAGAAAGAAGGTCAGAAGAGTCCTGTAAGCATCTCAGGAGAGTGCCATTTTTTTGGGCCCATGATTAGAATGACAACAAATCCTCCCTTTCTTTGATGAGTCTAACTCTGTCTAAAAGAAATCCTTGTACTTCTGGCAAAAACTGGCCAATCAGCCAAACCTAGAACTCTTCCAGATTGCCATGATTAGAATCTCATCCTAAAATAGAGGGGGAAAAGTTTTCAAGTCCATGTGGAAAACACAGCTTAAAATAGCAGAAAGGAGAGACGTGTTCATTCTCATCACAGTGTCTCAAGTGATGAGGTATCTGCAGATGGGCATTTGCTGCATGATTCTGGTAGTGTCCTTGTCAGTACTTTGGATCTAAAAATTCGTTCATCCACACCAGCAGGTCATCACAGTGGTGCTGTGGTGATGTTATGCCCTGTTAATTAAGTGCTCTGTTATAACAAATTGTATAGAGTAATACAGCTGTGTTGTAGGTTCACTCATAATAGAAATTTCAAGAAATCTTTTAGGATCAGCACTGTATAATTTATAGCATATTTGGTTCAAGAGCAGCAACTGCCTTCCCCAAATCCAAGAATACTCAAGCCTTTGAAAGCGTTCCTTGGAATCCCTGCAGACTAAAAGTGAGCCAAAGCATCTGCT